TTTACTAAGCTGGCAAAAATCAGGATTTTGTGAGATTTGTATGAAACTTCCAGCAACTGTAGAGTTGAGTCTCTTCTGAAAAAAACTTTCAAACTACTACTTTCTTCAGATTAAAAGTTGCAAATTTAAAAAAAACCTAGTTGAGTGAAAACATACAGTTTTAGGCCGATGTTTACTTACTAAGTTGGCAAAAATCAGGATACTGTGCGATTTATGTTAAACTCCCAGTATCTGTAGAGTTGATTGTCTTCTAAGGAATAGCGAAACTTTCAACCCACTGCTTGCTTCTGAGTAAAAGTTGAGAATTTTTAAAGAGACCCTAGTTGGGCGAAAACATCCATTTTTAGGCCGATGTTTATTAAGCTGGAAATAATCAGGATTTGTGCGGTTTATATGAAACTTTCAGCATCTTTAAAATCGAAAGTCGCCTAAAGAAGACGAAATTGCCAAGTCGATAAACAGTTTAGTTTAGAAGGCGTCAGAAAATATGAAATAGAAAATAATTATTGTTTAGTGAGGAGGTAATTTCTGTTACTAACACTCGGTTGATCTTTCACAAATGATCAACCTTTCTTTAAACTTTCTAGATTTGCTAATCCTTCCTACAATAAAACTCTGTGCTAGCTAATAACGACGTGTAATTAAAAATAGTAATAGCAACAATCAAAAATCCTAAATCAAGCACGTGCATTCATTCCTCAATCACACGCTCTGGTTGTCTTAATAATAGTAAAAACAATCTAGAACCTAAATTATTAGTTAGTTTGCATTTAAGTTGTAATACAGTATTCTCTATGTCAAATCACCCCTTGGGGATACAACTTTGATTAACGATTAGTTGTTACATTCAACGTTCAATCAGCGGTTGAGGTTTGAACTTGATTTCAAGGTTGGCTGGCGCCACTTGTTATGAAGGGTAGAGGAACACTTAGCCTTTGTACCCCGTTGCACCCTTTCGCTCTACCAGGATGTACTCACCTGGGAATACCCACTATTCACTGCAGCTCACACACCCCCAGCAATGCGTTAGGGATTCCTGGTTTATTGTTAGCCGATCTTAGGTAGAATGTATTTTTAGACCAGCGCAACCGAAAGAAATCGCCCGTCGGTCATCTACTTTGCCGATATTTTAAAAGTGACTTGGAATTTAATTGATAAGGTTTAGATTATAATCTAATGTCTCCGACAATTATACAGGGTGATTCGAAATTGGCGTCATTCCTTTTAAGGGGTGATAGAGGCTCACTTGGGGAGTACGAGAAAAATATAAAAAAACATTTATTCGAACATTTCTAGAAGGTATTAACAGTTGAAGATCAAATTTCAACTTTGTTATTAAGCATTATTTAGAAATTGTTCCATGTGTAATTGGTAGCATATTGGAATACTTAAGCATTCAAAAAGAAAAATTACGATCTTTGCTTAAAATTACGAAAATTTTTGATATCAAAAAAGTTCTCTTTTACAATTTTTTGATGAAAAGTCACAGCGGTAATTATGTTTTTTCAACAGAAAGTTACAGGTGGATAGCCCTTGCCAACAATAACAATAATTTGTCAAACTGTGACTTACTTTGAATTTCCTTTCACGAATTTGTGGATATGCGATTAGTTCAGGGGAAATGTTACAGTAACTTAGCAGAAGCTGAAAGGACTCACGCCAACAAAGGGCGAGGAGAGTGGTTCCAGAAAGATAGTGGACAACAATCGATGTTCGAGTTCCCAACACAGAGGAACAAGTATTGTACATAATCGGATCAGGGCCTTCCAGGGGTACGCAGAGCACAATAACTGACACTTTCCCAAGCACCCAATAAATATCGAGGAAGGGCTACATTCCTACCACGTTTGTACGATACACACAGCACAAGGAGATCCAAATAGAGCACGAGTTAATTAACTGAATACGAGAAGCTGCTTGATAAGAGTGGATAATAAGAAGATTACACAGGCTCTAGCTTGTTTGCAGTTAACCATTCAAATGTTTGGTGTTGTATGGATTATTTAGGTAAACACCAAACCCCGCAGAATTCGAGGTTATGAGAACAACTTGACATGTCGAAAGTACGTTGCGCAGTCAACGAATCTTGTTGAATTTACCGTTTATCCTTGCCTATCTTATTGTCACGAAGTCACAGGTATTTGCGCAATGTTAAATAGGCAGATTACCTTGAAAAACATTGCTGCCGTATTTCTGATATAGTTTTTTAGAAATTTCTCAGTTTTTAATAACAATTAATGTCTTTTACTACTTTTTCTGTACTCCTATAACAGCGCCAGACAACACCTCCAGAGGAATGACGCCAATTTTGAATCACTCTATATATATGTTTTTATTGAATATAGCGAAATAATGTGTTACTATTTCTGTCTTAATACCTGGAACATTACTCAGTAATATTTACAAGTGGGTATATTATAGACTTGCTTTAAAAAAAGCGTGTGATTTATAACGAAGAACAAACAAGAATAAAAACTTAACGCTAAACTGCATTTCCATTGTGCAGAACAATTCTTATCAAGTGTTAAATTCCATCTCTTAACGGGAGGCTTCGTTCCTTCATGTCATCTTTTGTAGTTGGAGTTATTTTATAAATTTTGTTTTTGACGTAAACCCATAAAAATAAATCAATTTTTGTCAAATCGAGCGAACGATCATCAACTATCAACCTCTCAGGCAATTAATTATTTAGGTACTCATGAATTTGAGCTGTGTAATGAACTAGAGCTCCTTCATGTAAATACCACATTCCTTCCTTGATAATTATCCTTAATGTCCCTATAATGATATAGTCCCTATAATCCCTCCCTATAATGATATAGAAGGTAAATGATCCAGTAAACGTGGAATCWAATTTTGACACTTAATTATTGACTTCCAYAGCCACCTTACAAAATGTAGCAGCCTTTTGAAATTTTTAAATAAAATAAATTATAATTTGAAAACGGTTGATTTCACAGCGTAAATCCAAATTTGTAACTTTATAAATTGTCTATCTAATGACGTATTAATATACAGGTACTTCCATTTGAAAAAAACAAAAGTTATATTGCGTTAAAAAGTTTTAGATTGAAGTCCACATTGTTAACACCCTGTACAACGTAGTGATATTTTGGTTCAATAGAATTCTTAACGGATCTATGGTGATTGGAAAGAAGTATTTTTTTGTATCTCTAACTGCTTTTTTTGCTTCTACAATGAATATTTAGGTACTGTCAGAGCTATGTTAATATACGTCTCTATGTCATCTCTATATTACACGTCATGAACGAATAGAGATGGCGGCGCTTAAGTGAGCCTACCCACGGCTGCCTCTGGTGGAGCGTCGAGGTACCAAGGGCTAAGGGCGTTGGTCGGGGGTTGTACTGACGTCGAAAGTACGCACAATTGGTTTTTGATCGATATAGTTCCACGCACCGGGCAAGCAATTGTTTACACCCGATTAAGTTAGTAGTGATAGATTAAGTTAGTATCATATAAGATGTTTTTAAAATGTGCGCACTTTGTGCGTCAATAACTTTTATATAAAACTATTTTTCGAAACTTTAACACCAACGGATATAATGGACTCTCTCGCACTAAAAAACCACCCTGTATCTCTCGCACCGGGTTTATTTGTTGAGTCCGAACTTAAAAGATTTATATTAATGTAAATGAGCTGGAACAGTGCCGCATTAAGAAATATTTAAATAAAATTTATTTTTCACCAAAATTTTAAAATACAACCACACATCGATTTACTGATTGGCTATTTAATATTTATTGATTAGCCATTTATACAGGGTGTCCAAGATAACGCATTGCATGGATCTTTTTGAAACCGTAAGAGATAATAAGTCGGTTAAATGAGGCAGGGTGCAATGGTCGATATACATATACAGTCGACGTCACATAAAAGTAGACGATTAAATATTTGCTGTGTAAAGCTGACTTTCCACCTTGATCTATCATTGCGTAAGTAGAATATTAACAAATAAATTTTCCTATTATTAAAATGACTCAGTTAAAAGCACTTGAAAAAACTCGAATAATTACATTAATCGAGGAAGGATGGTCCACGAAAACAGTAGCTGAGAGATTTGGAAAATCGAAAAGCAAGATTTATAGAGATTAATTAAATTGTCAAATTAAAACAAGTTTGTGTACTACAGGAGCGGATCCAGTTTTCGAGTCAGGGGAGGGGGGGATCAAGTCGTAGAAATTCACCACCCACCACCCCTCCTGAATCCGCCCTTGGTCTACTAGTACTATTGTCAGCTATGTAAGTATACGTCTCTATGTCATCTCCATATTACACGTCATGGACGAATAGAGATGGCGGCGCTTAAGTGAGCCACCTGCGGCTGCCTCTGGTGGAACGTCGAGGTACTAGGGAAGGGCGTTGGCCGGGGGTTGTACTGACGTCGAGAGTACGCACAGTTTAGTTTTTTGTTCGATAGTTCCACGACGGCACCCGACAACTATACCTACTGTACATGGTATTTTCAAAGCAGAAGTATTCATTTTAATAAAGCCACCACCGCCAGGCGGTCTCTTCAGACGCAAAAATCGAATTTTTAGAAAACTAATTTCGGGGTCATGCCTCGTCATATTCTAAGAACGGTTTTGGAAAACTTTGATACGATATGAACTGTTTTCCTTGAAATTGATGAATGTCTCTTTTGACAAAAAAAACAGTTAATSATAAAAAACAAAAAAAAAAACAGTTAATGATAAAAATAATACAATTTCATTTACTATTTACTTTTYTTTGTCGACGCAGATTCACGGGATGTTTCGACAAAGTTCAARARGCGTTCATTCATCATTCAWTTTTTTCAAAAGTACCTTTGAAAACTACTTAAAAAATARAAAAACAGAAATTTAGGAATAKTAAATTATCTACCGCTTTATTTTTAAATCTACCGTTTTTTTCCTATCAATTCTACCATTTTCGAAGTTCTTSGTCTGSCAACGCTGCCTGTTCGTGATGGCATGGTGAAAAGATGAGTTACTTGCTTKTAACCTCTTAGGTTTGTTTTTGTTGTTTACCCARAGTTTTCCGTATTAACCTAAAAAACGCTTGATYSGTGTGGTGCACGTTTGGTGCTTAAATTTAGTGAATACTATACTAATCTCCGATTCTTCCGGTGAGAGCCCCAATTATTCCTTGGTCGTTTCTTGCATTGCATGTTCTTTTCACGTCTCGCATTAATTGCTTGATCCTTTCCAGGTGGGTCATCTGGCTTTTGCTTTTCATTAATTTCTCTTGGTCTCGTTCATTGTTACTCATTATTTTGCTTGATTTTTATATGTTAGACCGGTTCTGAAGACTCTTGACTACATCACCAAAAATGGCTTTTGTTCTGGATGCTGTTGGGGATCGTCCAGATGATGCCCCAAACAATCAGTTGTTCTCTTTGAACAATGGTAATATTCGCGTCTGATTTTTTCATGACCATTTAAATGTTTACTAATTTATGTTTTATTTTCCAGATAGTTCGACAATTGCAAAGCCTTCCTCAGTGGAGGTGAGAAGAAAATTGAGAGACGCAATCTTTTCCTTCTCAGATTCTACTGAGGGATTAGCAGAGTACAAGAAGCGTCTCTTTGAACTGAATGGCAACACAAGCCCGGCTCAAAGTCACGCAAACGTGCCTAAAAAACATAAACTAGTGAAGCCTTTGATTCCGGAGACTTCGTTCGRGATGAAAAAAGGTGWCTATACTCGCAAGTAKTGCGTTAGGYGCTGATCTGAGCCCCTTTTWAAGAGCTAAACGGCCCAGAACTCAAAGCAATTGAATGAGTGTTTGGGTATGCCATTAACAGACGGTTAAACAAGAAGGCAATTTCTGATGATTTATTATTACTTAAAGGAAAATAATTGGTTGCAATGTGACTTCAAACCATTTAGATTGGGTTTTAAATATTAAATTAATTTTACTAGCTAATTTTTATTGTGTCCAATGCATTATTATAGTCGCAATGCATTTTTTTCTTACTAATGTATTTTTGCTTCAAGATGAAAATGCGCACAGTTACAGAATCAAAAAACAGTTACAGTCTGAGGTGCAAAAAGCGCTAAGCAAAGCGGTTGTTACGCCCGACTTTGAGCAGCTGGCATCTGTGCCTCCATACGAGGTCTCAAAGAGGAAACTTCTGCGAGAGAGAAAGGTTTGTTGAAAAAAAAGTAGTTCATTCGCTCTAGATCGAAAGTTGCGGTTTGCAATGCGTGAGGGTCTTAAAAGAAGTTTCTTTTTGTACATGGCTTCGTCAGGATGTTGCCAAACAAATTCCAGTCTAGAATCGATCTAAATTACAGAAAAATAACTTTTGTATTTGTTTTATCTTGCTCCTTATGATACACGACAAATCATTATTTGTGTTTAATTTCCCATTCTGTTGCGAATGTATGGCTCAATGTAAATTGGAAATTTCATATTTTATGTTGTATCATTGGCTTACAGAAGGAAAAAGACAAGACCAAAGGCACTGGTTGGTTTGGAATGCCAGCTACAGAAATGACCGATGAAGTCAAGAATGACTTGGAAATTGTACAAATGAGATCCGTCTTGGATCCTAAACATTTTTACAAGAAAAACGATTTGAAGGTTCTGCCAAAATATTTCCAGGTAGGGCTTTATTTAGTTATTGATCAATTCTAATCGAGAAAACTTAACCAAGCGCTAAGTGAATTTGTTAGAGGCAATGATTTAAGGAGAAAAAGAGGTAAAATTACTAACCCAAACATGTTTAGATTGGTAAAGTAATGGATTCGCCGTTGGACTTCTACAGCAACCGGCTAACGAAAAAGGAGCGCAAGAAGACTCTGGTCGATGAGCTGTTGGCTGACGCCGAGTTTCAGCAACATAATAAGAAAATGTATCGTTCAATCATGGAAGAGAAGCAGAAAACTCACTATAAAAGCTGGAGAAAAACGAAAAACTTAAAAAAGAAGAAAAACAAATAAATTCTGTATTAAAAATAGCAGATTATCGTCGCTTATTTATTTACTTTTATTTCCAACTTTATCTGAGCTCTAAAAATGCATTAAGGTAGTCTGAAGAAAAAATGTAGATTTCAAAGAAGTTAAACTGATGATGCATTTTATCACAGTTAATTCTACTAGAGGGGATAAAATGTACTTTTTTGTACCGAATGGAATAAAGTTAGTTTGCGGCGCAAAATTTTTTTTCAACGATTCCAGGTCCCGTTGAAATTCCAGAGAAGAGGTTCGTATAAAGATACAATAATAATAAATATTCTCGAAGACTATCAGATGAAAATGAAAATACGAACACCGGAAAACAGGCAATGCAGGTGTGTCAAATGTATGATTTACCTATGTCAATTAACTAAAATTATGGGCGCATATAGTCACTACACTAAAGCATTTTGCTATAATTATACAGAAAACATTTGTCTTATTGGCGATTATAGACCAGGGGTGAGCAAGCAGTTTTTTTTGGCAGCCCGCATAATTTACAAAACCGAGTTGAAAGAAGTTGATGACAGATTATTTATAGGCACTTGATTGCGCAACATTTTCCCCATTTAGTCCACCCTGTAACTCTAAGGGTTTCGAAAATCCCCATGTACATCACTTTATACTGGACACACTATATATATGATGTTTGYTTACTTTAACACTTGCACATATTCGCTTCATGTTCGGTTCTGTATAAACCATAAATTTACAAATGTTGAAAAAGCTAAACAGCTAAACACAGTGTATAACTAACCGCAATAGCCGATTTAATAAACGAAATTAAATGTTTTCATTGCAATCGGATGCACTCGAGCAAGTTCGTCCAAACGTCTTGTAGTAGACATTTAAAAGACGTCTTGTGCCAGGCACTAACAAGACGTCTTGCAGCAGACATATTTAAGATGTCTTAAATACATCTTCAAGAGACATACGACGTTCAGACACAATAACGGCATAAAGACGTCTTGTGCTGTTTCGGAAATATACAGCTTTATCTTTGACGAAAGTGAAAAAATAATCAAATTTCCACTTTTCTTGAAAATGCCTGTGCTCATCTACAGCCTTCCTATTATTGTTTGCCTTTCCGACATGCTATTATCGATTAAAAATTTGAAGGAAATTGCTAGTTAAAAGCTTACCCAGTCTGACTGACTGTGTACAGTCGCGGCACGATCGTATTGCATGTTTGAACAAGTGAGTAAGACGTGAGTTATATTTTGGACTTTTGAATTTTCCTTTTTAAAAACTTTATTTTCACAAATACATTACTTCCTTTAGCTCTGACTTCTCTGACTAACATAATTATAAGATTAGCAAGTATATATAAGATACAAAATGCAAGTTAGCTGAAATTATGATAGTCCGGGCAGTTTAGAGGTTTAAGCGTCACATAACTCCTCCCCTCGAAGATTCAACTTCATGGTTGCTTCAGTTTAAGGATGAAGTTGGACGTTGTGGAGTTCTACTCATCACAAACAACAACACGAAAACGATGACTCTGGTGGACGTCGCAATCGCATTCGAAAACCAGTACAAGGCTTTCGAGGCGACCAGGGCTGATAAGTTGCGGAAATACCAACACATCGCCGACGACTTCATTGCCAGGGGTTACGACGTCCACATGGACGATTTTATCATCGGCTGTCTCGGAGGCTGGGACCCGGCAAACGAGAGAACGCTGAGCCGCCTGGGGCTGGGAAGACGCTACTGCCACCTGATGAGACGACTCATGTGCACGGACACCATCCGCTGGAGTCGGGACATCTACGTGGAACACGTGACGGGCAACCGACAGTACCGGGAGGCAAACCGAGGCGATCAATGAGCTGTAAACTATCAAAAAACCAACACACAAGAGTCGGGCACTAGCTGCCAAGAGCTCTTATTCATCACTGTTCTAATACTTTTCTATCAAGGCATTCGCTAAATAAACTATCTGTTCTTATCAGCTTAATATCTGATACGCCCCGCATGCGGGGCCAGTGTATTAAACTGATTTTTGGAAATTGACGAAGGTTAGGGGCTTGCTCCACCTTTGTCGCGGGTTGGCCTGGTATTGCTGTACCGCCAGGATCGGCCCACTTGAAGCAATTAAACAAAACACGCAAACTCAACGAAAATTGGCTTGTGAAACTTGCATTGCTATACATTTTTCGGTCACCGGGAAGTTCAACCGTGTGAAGGAAGTCGGGCGAAGACTACTATTTGAACATATTTATTTTCAGCTTAGTAAAACGACTTAAAAGTATGTATGATTATATTCGACTTATGCAAATATCTTTATATGCAGATTGTATAATTTGATGAAATAAATTATTCCTGTTCTACAGGTAAACACTTAAGCCTGTACATTTTTACAAGCAATGAAAATAATTCTTTACCCTCCTGCAACAAATTTATAAAATAACTCCAACTACAAAAGATGACATGCAGGAAGGAATTACAACTGTTTCGAAGCATTAATAATATTGTTTTTAACTGCGTTAGCGATTCGTTTCAGAAACGGAGATGTTAATAGTTGCTTAAATGTTAATGGAAATCATATTGAACATTTATTTTAAAATACCACTGTAGGTATAATTTTATATTTTCATTTTTATAGACGTATTTTTCATCATTATTATGTCAAATATCATCAAATTTTGACACTTATTTAATGAATTCCATAGTCACCTTACAAAATGTAACAACTTTTTGACAATGTCCGATATATCGATTTAACTTCATCATTTTTAGGTTGAAGTTCAGCAATTCCATCGCAATAGAAAGAGAATTGGGCTGCAGATGTTTACTTTTACTGCTAAACATAACAACAATACAATATTAGAGTATTATTTAGATATATTTACAAAACCAACACGTTTCAGAGTCTTAAAACGGCGAAGTGCTGGGCTCCAGAACGCAAGCATTATAAGTTTATTAATTTAACAGTTTTTTCCAAGCTGGGCTTAGGACAAGAGGTATTCCAATGGCTCTCAATGTCCGTCGCACTAACATTGCAATGTGCGTGATATAAAAGTGCTACCAAATGTGAGTAGGATAGTGTTCCCCTGGGGCAAGTACATGCAGCCTTGCTCTTCCTTGTTCCTTGATGAGGGGCGGCTGGCAATTCCCATACATAAAAACGTTTCCACATGTCCACTGGTGTAAGAGTTTTTTCCTCAAGCTAACTGTTTGGCGTTTAGTTAAAAAAAATGCTATAAAACTGAACTTTATGATATGCCTTTCTGCCATTGAAGTTTAAAAATAAGATTATATTTGAATATACATCGACATATATAAACACTATTTGTTTATATATCTCTTACTTTTTGCCCGATAATGTAATTCTACAGTTGGGAACCACAAAATATTCTTGATGCTGCAAAGATAACATAAAAATAATAAAGTTTAATCCATATATTTCCGAGAAGCTACGCTAAAAATCTTACCTAAACTATTTGAGATGGTACAAACCATATACCACCAATAAATCGACTTTACACAGTTCTTAAACAGGTTAAAGGCACACAAGATCATAAAATCCAAAAATACCCATGAAAAAGGTTAAATGTTTTGGTTAAAATCCTGACCTGGGCAAACACACCAAATGCCATTACGAAGTTATATGGCCATTTCCAATGATGCAGTGTTAAACTAGAACAACTTTGTCAAGTCAGCATCTATTTTCTTATTTATACGGCAAGGTTTGCGTATGCAAATCAGTCATTAAGATCACTTGCTTGGTGTATGTTCCATGTAATTTCGTTTGTAAAATAGAGTTTTAAAAAAAGCGAAGTTGCATAATTAAGAACAAAATTGGCGCAGTCGGTAGCATCTTTTCGGAGTGCGAATTAAAATTCAGATTTAGTGAAAGTTCGGAGTTCGTGAGTGCGAAGTTCGTAAAGTTTACATAAATGGATTAGTAGCACCCTCTGTGTCAACAGTTAAGGAAGGATTCTGTAGAAGGACCAACGCAACGCATCTTGTGACTCCTGGCAGACATGGCTTTCTGGTTCGCCACAACGAAGAAGCCAGACGGGACATATTAGCCGTGCTAGTGTCCACTACAAGCAGTACTATCCTGGATAGTGAAGCTACTTAGCGACGTACCGCTTGATACAGGACGAAATACTGGGAGACAAACTGTGAGTCCGTAATTTCCTATAGTTGATGTACCTCCTAATTAGGGATGAAAAGTAAATGAAGAAATTAACTCATAAAGCTAAAGTATTAGAAGATATATCGTATCCAAAACGAAGAATTAGTTCAAATCAAGTTTAATCAATAACTTCGAGTTTAACTAATTTATATTCGGAGATTTCTACACATTTTTCGCTTCAATTAGAAGAAATCGATAAGAATATAAGAAGTAGTTTAGAAAATAATTTAGAAGCAAGAAGTACTACCCCTATTGACAATATGAGGTATGCTTTAAGATCAACTGTCACACTTCTAAAAACTTTTGACGGAAGCCCGCTGAGATTGGAATCTTTTGTAAATCAAATTAATACTTTTCATACACGTTACTTTAATGCTGACCTATCACAGCCAGAATATGTAACTTTAGCAATAAAATCTAAAATATTAGGTGCTGCTGAAGATTTTCTTTTAACTCGCCCAGATCTTCAAACTTGGGACGAAATAAAAAATGCACTTCAACAAAAGTTCAGTGACCCCATAACTAGAGCTAACTTGCAGCAACAACTAATATTTCTTTCTAAAACTAATGAAACTACGCAAGAATATATTCAAAATTTAAAATCTCTTGTTACCAAAATAATACAAAAATATGTGCAGAAGTTATGAATGCAGAAGCAAGAACTATACCGATTTTCCAAAATGAACTTACCGCAACACAAAACCTACTAGCTAATATTTCAAGTGAATTGCAAACCTTAAAAACCCACAAAATGTACACAGTGCAATTGATATAATAACCAACTTTAAATTTTGACAAGCCAAACCACTTTCAAAAATAACTATTTACAAAACCATAATAAACCAATTAATAAACCCACTAATCAAGCCGTTGCGAGCACTCAAAAGCTTTTCAACTCTTTGAACCCTCAAAGCTCTTTTAGACCACAAAATCGATTTAAAAAACTACAATTCCTACCCCAAAACCACCAACAATTTCCACAAACAAAAGAACAATATTCGCAACCAAAACAACAATTTCAACAACTAAAACAACAATTTCCACAACCAAAACAACAA